CAGCGCTCACTGAGAGGCTACTCTGTAACCCTGATTTAGTGAGCCAGAGATAAGGATCGCGTTTCATGCGAGGCTCCTGAATAAACTTCAGTGTGCGCGAGGGGGGGGGGACGTTATATCGATCGAAAAAGAGCGAAGAGGGAGAAAGGGGGGAGGGGGAGGGAGGCAAAGGGGAGAGAGTGAGAACAGAAGAGACCCGTAAACAGCCCCCCCCCCCTCCTCCCCAACACACACACACACACACACTCACAACATAACCTACCCGAGCTCAACAGGTATAGAAAATAAAACGCTCAAATAAAATCCCGCAGCCTTCAACAAATCAAAACTAAACTGAATCACCAACCCAAAAATAACAACAATATGAAAACAGCATAAAAAAAATACACACACACACACACACACACACACACACACACACACACACACACACACACACACACACACACACACAACACACACACACCACACACACACCTTTACTGTACCGCTGATGAGAGGGCGGGGAGAGGGCGGGGAGAGGGCATTGAGGGGGCGGCGAGAGGGCAGTGAGAAGGCAGTGAGAGGGCAGTGAGGGGGCGGCGAGAGGGCAGTGAGGGGGCGGCGAGAGGGCAATGAGAGGGCATTGAGGGGGCGGCGAGAGGGTAGTGAGAGGGCAGTGAGAGGGCAGTGAGAGGGCGGCGAGTGGGCGTCGGGCTTCCTCGGCCATGGCCCGGCCCGCTTCGCCCCTCAAGTCGATTTTCACCTCGGCTTTAAGACAAGGACAGAAATAGCTCGTCTACTTAGGCCGTCAAGAGCACGCTCTTTTTATTAGAGGTCTCACTTTCTTTCGTCCTTTCTCGTTTTCTTTTTTTTTTTTCTTTCTCATTCTCTTTCTCTTTCTCTGTCTCTGCCTCTGTCACTCTCTCTCTCTTTCTCTGTCTCTGCCTCTGTCACTCTCTCTCTCTTTCTCTGTCTCTGCCTCTGTCACTCTCTCTCTCTCTCTCTCTCTCTCTCTCTCTCTCTCTCCTCTCTCAAGCATTCCTCTCCTCTCTCTTCTCTCTCTCTCTCTTCTCTATTTCGATCCCTAACCCTCTCCCCTCCCCCCCCCTTCTCTCTCTTCTCTCTCTCTTCCTCATCTCGGTCTCTCTCTCTCTCCGTATCTCTCCTCTCTTCTCTCTCTCTCTCTCCTCTTCTCTCTCTCCCTCTCTCTCTCTCGTCCTCTCCCCCACCCCCCCTTTTCTCTCCCGCTCTATCTCCCTCTCTCGTCTCCCTCTCTCTCTCACTCTCTCTCTCCCTCTCTCTCTCCCTCTCTCTCTTCCCTCTCTCCTTCTCTCATCTCTCTCTCTCCTTCTCCCCCCTCCTTCCCCTCCCCCCCCCCCCCCCCCCTCTCTCCTACCTTCTCTCTCTCTTTCTCTCTCTCTCCTCCTTCCTTATCCCTCTCCCCTCCCTCTCTCTCCTCTCTCTCTGCTCTCTCCTCCACTCATCCTCATCTCTCCTCTCTCTCCCTCTCTCACCCCATCTCTCTGCTCTCTCTCTCTCTCTCATCTCTACCTCCCCTCTCTCTCTCTCATCTCTCTCTATCTCTCTCTTTCTCTGTTCTATGCCTCTGTCACTCTCTTCTCTTTCTCTGTCTCTGCCTCTGTCACTCTCTCTCTCTTTCTCTGTCTCTGCCTCTGTCACTCTCTCTCTCTCTCTCTCTCTCTCTCTCTCTCTCTCTCTCTCTCTCTTCTCTCTCTGCTCTCTCTCTCTCTTCTCTATTTCTATCCATAACCCTATCCATCCCCCCCCCTTTTTCTCATCGGCTCTCTCTCTCTCTATCTCTCTCTCTCTCTCTCTCTCTCTCTCTCCTCTCTCTCGCCCTATCTCCTCTCCCTTCTCTCTCTCCCTCTCTCTGCTCCCTCTTCCTTTTCTCTCCCTCGCTCTCTCCCTCTCTCTCTACCTCTCTCTCTTCCCTCTCTCCTCATCTCTCTCTCTCTCCTCTTCTCTTCTCTCTCTTCTCTCTCTCTCTCTCCCTCTCTCTCTCTCTCTCTCTCTCTCTCTCATCTCTATCCTCTCTCTCTCTCTCTCTCTCTCTCTTCTCTCTCTCTCTCTCTCTCTCTCTCTCTCTCTCTCTCTCCCTCACTCTTCTCTCTCTCCCTCTCTCTCTTCTCTCTCTCTCTCTCTCTCCTCTCTCTCTCTCTTCTCTCTCTCTCTCTCTCTCTCTCTCTTCTCTCTCTCTCTCCCTCTCATCTCTCTCCTCCTCTCTCTCTCGCTCATCTATCTCTCTACTCTCTCCCTCTCTCTCTCTCTCTCTCCCTCTCTCTCTCTCTCCCTCTCTCTCTCTCTCTCTCCTATCTCTCCTCTCTCTCATCTCTCTCATCTCTCTCTCTCTCTCCCATCCTCTCCCTCTCTCCCTCTCTCTCCTCTCTCTCTCCTCTCCCTCTCAATCTCTCTCTCCCTCTCTCTCTCTCTCCAATCCCTCTCCCCCTCCCCCTCCCAATCCCTCTCCCCTCCCCTCCAATCCCTCTCCCCCTCCCCCTCCAATCCCTCTCCCCCTCCCCCCTCCCAATCCCTCTCCCCCCCCTCCCCTCCCAATCCCAATCCCTCTCCCCTTCCCCCTCCCCTCCCAATCCCTCTCCCCTCCCAATCCCAATCCCTCTCCCCCCTCCCAATCCCTCTCCCAATCCCACTCCCCCCTCCCCCTCCCAATCCCTCTCCCCCTCCCAATCCCTCTCCCCCTCCCCCCCTCCCTCTCCCTTTGTTTCGAACAGGAAATGATACAGCAATAAAAAAGATAAGAGCAAAGTTATTAACTGATAATGTAAGTTTACGTAAGTTGCAACATTTACCTTTTGCATATTAAAAAAAAAAGTTGTTTGATAAGATAAACAGTTCCCAATGACTTGCTTCATTCCATATTGTCGTGGGGTATGTAGCTTTGTTTTTTTTAGGAATATAACATCAAGATCTATTATGCTCCAAACGACGTCATCACGGAAGTTAATTAATGCTTGAATGAATAAATACCTAATTGCACAGCTGGTAATTTTTTTTACCGTACACGAGCAATATGGTGATGCTGACTGGTTTGTGTCAACCGTGCATTCATTTTCTTGCAAGATTGTAATCCCCCCTTCATTCCTCGGACTCTGCTTCCTTCTTCTTCCTCTTTTTCTTCTTCTTCTTGAGTATCGCTTCCATCGAAATTATTTTCTCTTCCGTCCCCCTTCTTATTTTCTTCCCCCTTCTTCCCCCCCTCCTCTCTCCCTCTCCCTCCCCCTCTCTTTCTCCCTATCCTCTCCCTCAGCCATCTCCCCCTTCTTCCCCCTCTCCTTCCCCCTCGTCTCTCCCCTTCCCATCTCCATTTCCTCTCTCCTCTCCTTCTCCCCATCTCCTTCCCCTCTCCCTTCCCTGCCCCCTTCTCTCTCCCTATCCCTCTCCCCTCCCTCTCCCTTTCCTCCCGCCCTTCTCTCTCCCTATCCCTCTCCCTCTGCCCCCCCTTCTCTCTCCCCTCCCTCTAAACGCGAGGAGGTGAAACCTTACACGTATGAATAGCAACATGATTGGCTTAGGGCTTAGAGACACACACTGTACATGAGAAGTTGTTTCCTTTATTGATGCAACGCGTCGAGATGTGCAGGAGCCGTCTTGGGACCGAACGCCCGCTTTTGGCAATAATATCAGAAGTAAATATCAAAAGCGATGGCAAATGTGGTCGGTTATGCTTCGCCTCTCTTTCCCCTTTCCCCTTTCCACTCTTCCTTCTCCTCCCCCCTACCTCTCTTTCCTGCGCCTTCCTCTCTCTCTCTCTCTCTCTCCTCTCTCTCTCTCTCTCTCTCTCTCTCTCTCTCTCTCTCTCTCTCTCTCTCTCTCTCTCTCTCTCTCTCTCTCTCCTCCCCTTCCCCTTCTTTCTCTCTCTCCTCTTCCCCTTCTTTCTCTCTCTCCTCTTCCCCTTCTTTCTCTCCTTTCTTGTCCTCCTCTCCTTTTCCTCCCTCGTCCTTCACCTCTCCTTCCTTCCTCCTTCCCCTCGCATTCCTCATGCTCCTCTCCCAATCTTCCTCTTCCTCCCCATCCTTCCCCTCGCATTCCTCCTGCCCTTCCCCCTTCCTCCTCCTCCCCCTTACACCCCCTCCCCCTCACAATCTTCCTCTCCCCCCACCCCTACCCCCACCCCCATCCAAGTGTCATAAACAAAGGTCGTAGTCGTCCCTCTCCCTCCCACTTTCGCCACACATGTTCAGCTTCCCCGCCGGCGGAAGCTGCCATCGGATGTGAATATGTGCCAAACTGCTACGCTTTAAGATGGGGACAAGCGGGAGGGGGAGGTGAGTGGGGGGCGGGGAGAGGGGAGGCGGGGAGAGGGGAGGCGGGGAGAGGGGAGGCGGGGAGAGGGGAGGTGAGTGGGGGGCGGGGAGAGAGGAGGCGGGGGGAGGAGAGGTGAGTTGGGGGCGGGGAGAGTGGGGGGCGGGAGGAGAGATGGGAGAGCGTGAAGAGAATAGGAGAGGAGAGGAAAGAGGAGGTTTGGGGGGAGGGAGTTTGTGAGGGAGGGAGGGAAAGAAAGAGGGGGAGAGGAGAGGGAAAGGGAGAGGAGAGGAGAGGAAGGAGAGGAAGGGAGAGGGAGAGGAGAGGGAGAGGGAGAGGAGAGGAAGGGAGAGGGAGAAGGAGAGGGAGAGGGAGAGAGAGAGAGAGAGAGAGAGAGAGAGAGAGAGAGAGAGAGAGAGAGAGAGAGAGAGAGAGAGAGAGAGAGAGAGAGAGAGAGAGAGAGAGAGAGAGAGAGAGAGAGGAAGAGAGAGAAAGAGAGAGAAAGAGAGAGAAAAATAAAACAAAAAGAAAGAGAGAAAGAAAGACAGAGACTACACGAAGGATAAAACACTACCGGGTACGCCACGGCGGACCACAACAGGACAGCCAGAGACACATGTAGCTCATGTAGGCCTAAGCCTCCCGCATCCCCAGGCGTTGCTAAACAAGACGAGAAACACGGAGGGCCACTGTTACGCAACGAGCCCCCACGTGAGTCATCAGGGTATGCCCCGGCAACGTGCCCTTGCCACGACATTACACTAGTGAGCAGATGCCACAT